TTCAACTATTACTACCAAAACTAGTACCACTACTACTAATGATAACGTTAATGCTAACAACTATTGATCTATTGGTTGGTTTATTTCCATCCAGAATATTCTCCAGTCTAACACCAGGGGGCCTGATGTACTAAACGTCCGTACATTTCATCGTGAAAAAGTGCTCACGCTAAAATCCAACTTCGTTTCGTTTGTAAATCCCAGTGTTTCATTGACGCACGTGCGGAATTATCAGACCACGCCCCCACCTACGTATGCAAATATCTTTAAAGAAGCCGTGAATCCCAAGATCTGCAGGTGAATTCATCACGAGGAACTAAAAAATGGATTAGACTGAAGCCGAACTATAGATCCTAGTCAGAGAGGTGGAGAAGGTGAGGTGTGGTTTTGGTCACGTGTCCGCAGGTATAAATATGAAAAGACAAGTGTGTGTGTGTGTGTGTGTCCGTGAATGCCGTTAGTCGGGGCAGCGCACACACATAAAGGTAAAACAGAACTGGTCCAGTAACAGTGGCCTTGGTGAACGAAGCCTCATCATCCAGTAACCATCATTCTACAGTAAATCCTCTCCTTCCCTAAACACACACTCCCGTCTTATTGCGACATGAGAACAAAACTACCGCTGCAGTTGTTCAGAACATGTTCTTCAACATTCTTTCACATCCACACATAGAACTGTAAACACGTTTGTCAGTTCATCGGTCGAAGTCTCTCTGATGACTACTTGGTTTTTGTTTTCTTTTTACATTATTTGCAGTTTCCCAGCATCACCACTAGGTGTCGCCAAAGGCACACAGCTGTAGAAACCTGAGTACGACAGCTCGTTTCTACGATCATTTCAATTTAGAGACGTCTGAACGAGAGAGTAGAAAAAGGTGGAACCAACTTTTTTGTGCGTCTTCAACTCTGACTGTGACTCTGCGTCACAAATGTCAAATATTTCCGAGTGTAAACTATTGTAACTGGGTGAAAAAACTAATAAACGAAGTGAAATAGAAATGTCATGAACGAGTCATTTGGTCAAACTAATAAAACTCCACAGTACAGAGTGTGGACATCAGAGAAGTCCTTTATTCGTCCCACAGTGGTCAGTTACTGCTGTGTTTGAAGATATAAATAACTGGACAATAATAACTGTCAATCAAACTGAGACATGACGGTGAAATTAATATGAATATCAAACATTTTACTGTCATTTTACTTTGTTCTACTGATATTTTGACTCCATTTTATGTTTTTTTAGTTTAACAATTGTTATAATATTCTCAGTTAACATTAAATAAACATATACAGATAAAAATAATGAATTTACCTCAGGGCTGTACAAACGAAATATAAACAAATAAAATGGAGCAGAAAGAAAGAAGAGAAAACAACAGGTAAAAACTAAAATGCGTCACAAATGTCAAATATTTCCGAGTGTAAACTATTGTAACTGGGTGAAAAAACTAATAAACGAAGTGAAATAGAAATGTCATGAACGAGTCATTTGATGAAGAATAAACGGATGAATTCGGACATTTCTAAAACAGTCGGTAAACATTGGTTTAAATGAGTCAAATATAAAAACAAAGTCAGACTCACTCGCTCCGCCGCCGTTTATTCCCAGTAGAAACAGTAGAAGAAACATCTTCATTGTGACCAGTTGAATTTGATGAAGTCAAAATGAAGACCTTCATTTCTCCACAAACACAGACTGAACTTCAGAGACAACGAGTCACGGAGAAAACAGGAGCGGAAGTCTGGACGACGTGACGTCACCTCCCTCTGAGCCAATGACAATTCAGAATCAACCTCGACGTCACTAAACTCCGGGTGAATCTGAGTGAAACAGGTTGTGGAGAGGAGAAAGTGAAAGTAAATAAGAACAAACCAACATATATTGTCATATTCTCTGAGATATTATCATTATTAAAAATATAAACATGTTTTTAAACAAACGTAGAAAGAGCTACGTTTTAGTAATTATTAAATTAGAAGAGAGAAACCTGTTTTAAAGGTTAAAAAGTCAACATAAAAGCTGTTGTTTGACTTTTACAGTTTATCAATAAAAACATACTGATGTTTGACAGACCATAACATTTCACTGAGTCAAATCTATAACAGTGAACCTTTAATATTTGATACT